GGTTTTTTTGTTTTGGGGGGGGGGGGGGGGGGGGGGGGGGGGGTATTTTTATAGTTAGGAGAAATGCATCGACATGACGACGAGATGGATAGACAGAAGTAGCCTAAGAAAAGAGAAAAGTAGGACCTACCAGTGGTGCCATCCAGCTTTCCGTCTGTTCTTTCTGTTTGTCTATGTCTTTTGTTTTGTAAACTGCACTAAATGGCCATTGTTGTGTTAATGTGCCCCTCTTTACTTAAGATAAACATACCTTCTTCTTTCTGTTTCGAACAAATTGTCATGTGCTTGGCATATCGGATTACTTTTTCTTGTCTAGTTAGGCGTTAAGAGCTCTTCAAAAAAAAAAAAAAAAAAAAAAGTACACCACTCTGCCAACAGAGTAGAGTTGACATACAATCAATGTCAGCGGACTGCTCCACCAAAGCTGGCTGTTGAGCCCAGACACACAATAACCGAGGCACTTTAGGATTTGCACACACACTCACACACACACGCACACACACATACACACACATACGCGTGCGCGCACACACATACACATACACATACATACTCATACATACGCGTGCGCGCACATACAATACACATGCACACACAAACACCCACACACCCACACGCACACCCACACACACACACACACACACCCACACGCACACCCACACACACACACACAGACACACACAGAGTCTATCTCCCACAAACACAGAGAGAGAACGAGAAAACAAGAGAGAGAGAGAGAGAGAGAGAGAGAGAGAGAGAGAGAGAGAGAGAGAGAGAGAGAGAGAGAGAGAAAGAGAGAGGCTGGACTAATAGATTTAGATCTCACTAACACTGCCGCCCATAGTGTGGTTGATAGCTACTTTGAAGTTATTATTATTCTTTCTTTATGTTTAAACCTTTGACTGGACAGCGAGGCAGATAGACAGACAGATAGACAGACATAATATGACAATACAATTCAAGTAGATAGTGTAATCAACTTTATATCCAGGCATTATTGAAGGACCATCCACCGGTGTCCGGTTTAGCGATTAGGCGCTTTGCTGCCGCACGCAGAAACCCAAGTTCGACTCCCTTGCGGGGACAAATTTTTATCGAATACCTCGGGATCTTTTGCCTCTTTCAGACCGGGTTGGGTGTAACAGGCATAGTCGAACCCGGCCTCGTAAATTATCTAAATAATATTGTGGTGAAAAAAAAAGGGGGGGGGGGGTATAAACACCTACATAATTTTTTATTTTTTTACGGACTTGAACGCTAAACGAATACTCTGAGACTTCTTAAATAACTCAACGCCTGCACATCGCCATCATGCCAGCTTGGCGCGGCTTGATTTAAGCACTGTATTTCAAGGGCCCCCGAATCAATGGCGTAAGTTTATCCAAGCCGGTGACCGTTGGATAATTGTACGCTTACCAGCTGAATCCGATCTTGCACACCAGGACTTCTCGTAGTAAAGTCCCGCACCACTACTTACGTTATTATAAGGTGATGTTAGAACGGACAGCAGCGAGGCATCCTTGCTATGTCCAGAGGGGTCAGAGGACTCAGGAACAAAGCCCCGGTACGTAACATGACTTTTCCTGGTAGCCGCTGAATTGTGTGTATGGCGGACCACAAGACCTGACGGTTTACGTCAACGTGTGGCGCAAGGCAGCGCCGTCTTCGTCCGTGTGTGTGCGTACTTACCTTGGGGAAATGTCACGACTGTCTACTTCCCTGCCTAATTCATCAGGCTTTTCTTATTTTACTTGGGGGGGGGGGGGGGGGGGGAAGAAGGAGGGAGGGGAGAGGGAGATATATACAGAGAGAGAGAGAGAGAGAGAGAGAGGGAGATATATACAGAGAGAGAGAAAGAAAGAGAGAGAGAGAGAGAGAGAGAGAGAGAGAGAGAGAGAGAGAGAGAGAGAGAGAGAGAGAACTTTGCAATTTAGTGTCGTATAGAGAAGGGTACATGTGAAAATGCTGGTACCTTGGAGGTAAAAGAGGATTTTAGAGATTAGGGGTGGCATAAGCAATGGGTATGAATGGGATTGGGGAAATTTTCCCCTGACTCATTTTGAGTCTTTAAAGCTAATTTACATTTCAAATAAAATTTGCATTTCTGTGATCGTTCTGGCGGCCGTGGTGTTTTTTTTTGTTTTTTGCAACACATCAATCAATTCCGTGGCATTCCTTTCTCGAATATTCTCTCTAGAAGAATTGTGTATCGAACTGACTGGGGCGTTCCTCAGATTTAAGGGTCACCTTTGAATAACATCGAGAAAAACCGCACGCACAAAAGGGATCAGGGTGGGATATTAATACACCGCCATCATTCATAAAAATCCATGACCACTGCTCAGTTTTTACTAGTCAAAAGCGCCCCCCCCCCCCCCCCCCACCACACACACTTCTAATAATAGCGGCCAAGCCGGCTTCGCTGGATTTTGATTTGTTTTGACGTTGGATCGTTGTTGGGGACACTCAGGAATATTGTGTTGTGCATGTGAAGGATTTGAAAGAGTAAAGAAAGTATTGCTGCGAAAGTCCAGAACAGGTTTAAGAAGGTTTATGCTGCTTGTTCTCAATGGACTGCAAAATACCAAGTCGATTTTGGAGTTCGGTATTTCGGAAAGCAAGTGGCAAAAACGAACCCTTCATCACACTTATAATGTGGTTTAATCGAATTTGATTCATTCAGTATGATTCATTTTTTGTTTTTCTTTATTTGTTTTCTTCTTATTATTATTTCCACATATAATGTAGCTCTTCTTCTTCTTCTTCTTCTTCTTCTTCTTCTTCTTCTTCTTCTCCTTCTCCTTCTCCTTCTCCTTCTCCTTCTCCTCCTCCTCCTCCTCCTCCTCCTCCTTCTCCTTCTCCTTCTCCTCCTCCTCCTCCTCCTCCTCCTCCTCCTCCTCCTCCTCCTTGTTGTCGTCTTTGCAAACCTCCTCCTCCTCCTAATTATTATTATTATTATTATTATTATTATTAATATTATTATTATTATTATTTTAATTTTATTATTGTTAAATGTTTTGCACTACGGACTCGGATCTTATCACGAGTAGGTCACGATTCAGTTTAGTTTGTTTGCTCCTGGGTCTGTCGGCTGTGGGGAACTCACTGCCTTCCTTGATGGATGGCGAAGTTGACGGGGGGAGGCAGAGCACGTCTATCCTTAGTTGGTCCTTTCTGGCCGTGGTCTGGGCCGGTTGGAGGGGTATGGTTTGCTCAACCCGCACGACTTATGGATTGGCACCCCCTCTGGCTAGACTGTGACTGA